CTTTCAAGTAGTTTTCGGTAATATTGTAACATTTTTCGAATTTAGTTCCGTAGTTACCCCATTGAGAAACTTATACAATTTTTTGTGTTGGGGAAAATTCTTAGTAAAAAAATTTCACTGCACTCTTTTTGACTCTATAATTTATGTGTTTTCTTTGTAGTAATAATTTTACATTTTTCGAACTCAGGTTTTGTAGATACACCAGTAAGAAATTTCAGCAATTTTTTGTACTGGGTAAAGACATTCCACTATAGCCTTTCAAGCTCAATTTTTTATTTTTCTAGTAGTTTTGTGTTGGGGAATTTTTGTAATCAACAAAATTTCACTACACTCTTTCAAGCTCATTTGTTTATTTTCCTATTTGTTTTGAGTAATGATTTTACATTTTATGATTATAGTTTTCACAGTCACACCGTAAGAAATTCATACATTTTTTTGTCTCGGAGAATTTTGTTTTTTTTTCTAGGAGTTTCTCCGGGAAATGTTTTTAGTAAAAAATTTCCGTTGTAGTGTTTCAAGCTCATTTTTTTATTCTTTTATTTGTTTTGTGTAATATTATTGTTTTTTAAGAATCTAGTGTTCGTAAGTACTCCTGTTAGAAATTTCTACAATTTTTTTGTGTTGGGGATATATTTTTTTCATAAAAAAAATTCCACTGCACTCTTTCAAGTAGTTTTAGGTAATATTGTAACATTTTTCAAATTTAGTTTCGTAGTTACCTCATTAAGAAAGTTATACAATTTTTTATGTTGGGGAAAATTCTTAGTAAAAAAGTTTCACTGCACTCTTTTAGGCTCTATAATTTATTTTTCTTTCTTTTTAGTAATAATTTTACATTTTTGGAACTTAGTTTTTGTAGTTACACCAGCAAGAAATTTCTGCAATTTTTGTGTTGGATAAAGACATTCTATTACAACCATTCAAGCTCAAACTTTTTTTATGATAGTTTTGTATTGGGAAATTTTTGTAATTAAAAAAAATCCACTACACTCTTTCAAGCTCATTTGTTTATTTTCCTATTTGTTTTGAGTAATGTTTTTACATTTTAGGATTTTAGTTTTCGCAGTCACCTCGATAAGAAATTCGTATAATTTTTTGTCTCGGGAAATTTTGTTTTTTTTTTCTAGGAGTTTCTCTCGGAAAAAAATTTAGTACAAAAATTCCACTGTGGTGTTTCAAGCTAATTTTTTTATTCTTCTATTTGTTTTGAGTAATATTCTTGTTTTTACGAATTTAGTGTTCGTAATACTCCAGCTTAGAAATTTCTACAATTTTTTTGTGTTTGGGATATTTCTTTTTATAAAAAAATTTTACTATACTCTTTCAAGTAGTTTTGGGTAGTATTGTAACATTTTTCAAATTTAGTTTCTTAGTTACCCCATTGAGAAATTTATACAATTTTTTGTGTTGGAAAAAATTCTTAGTAAAAAAATTTGACTGCACTCTTTTTGGCTCTATACTTTTTTTGCTTTCTTTGTAGTAATAATTTTACATTTTTCGAACTCAGTTTTTGTAGTTACACCAGCAAGAAATTTCTGCATATTTTTGTACTGGGTAAAAACATTCCACTACAGCTCTTTCAAGCTCAATTTTTTATTTTTCTAGTAGTTTTGTGTTGGGGAATTTTTTTAATAAAAAAAATTTAGTGTCTGGAGAATTTTTCTAGTAGTTTTCGCAGATCACACCAGTAAGAAATTCGTACAATTTTTTGTGTCGGAGAATTTTGTTTTTTTTCTAGGAGTTTCTCTTGAAAAAAAAATTTAGTAAAATAAGTAAACTGTGGTATTTTAAACTCATTTTTTTATTCTTCTATTTGTTTTGAGTAATATTCTTGTTTTTTAGGAATTTAGTGTTTGTAATTACTTCAGTTAGAAATTTCTACAATTTTTTTGTGTTGGGGATATTTTTTTTCATTAAAAAATTTCACTACACTCTTTCAAGTAGTTTTGGGTAATATTGTAACATTTTTTTAATTTAGTTTCGTAGTTACCCCATTGAGAAATTTATACAATTTTTTGTGTTTGGGAAAATTCTTAGTAAAAAAATTTCAGATGCACTCTTTTAGGCTCTATAATTTATTTTCTTTCTTTGTAGTGATAATTTTACATTTTTGTAACTCAATTTTTGTAGTTACACTAGCAAGAAATTTCTGCAATTTTTTGTGCTGGATAAGGACATTCCACTGCAGCCTTTCAAGCTCAATTTTTTATTTTTCTAGTAGTGTTTGTGTTGGGTTATTTTTGTAATAAAAAAAATTTCATTACACTCTTTCAAGTTCATTTGTTTATTTTTCTATTTGTTTTGAGTAATATTTTTACATTTTAGGATTTATGTTTTCGCAGTCACACCAGTAAGAAATTCGTACAATTTTTTGTGTTGAAAAATGTTATTTTTTTTCTAGGAGTTTCTTGGAGAAATTTTTTTTAGTAAAATAATTTCATTGTGGTGTTTCAAGCTCATTTTTTTTCTTCTATTTGTTTTGAGTAATATTCTTGTTTTTTAGGAATTAAGTGTTTGTAATTAGTCTAGTTAGAAATTTCTACAATTTTTTTATGTTGGGGATATTTTTTTTATAAAAAATTTTCACTGCACTCTTTCAAGTAGTTTTGGGTAATATTTAACATTTTTTGAATTTAGTTTCGTAGTTATCCCATTGAGAAATTTATACAATTTTTTGTGTTGGGGAAAATTCTTAGTAAAAAAATTTCACTGCACTCTTTTAGGCTCTATAATTTATTTTCTTTCTTTGTAGTAATAATTTTACATTTTTTAATTCAATTTTTATAGTTATACGCAATAAATTTTTTTTATTTTTTGTGTTAGGTCAAGACATTCCACACTGTAGTACTTGAAGCTTAATTTTTTATATTTTTAATAATTTTTTATGGAAAAAATTTTGTAATAAAAAAAATTCTATTACATTTTTTCAAACTAGTTTGTTTATTTTCGTATTTATTTGTTTATTTTCGAATTTGTTACTAAATTTAGGATCCGTGACTGGGGAGGAGCATGGCGTTTGGAGGTGGAAGCAAAAGCTGAACAGAGAAGAATGCGGTGGGAGAGCTACGTGGTGGTGCACAACATAGCAAAGAGGCACAACGTGTGGGAACGCTGGCTCGCAGTGGTGCCACCGTGTTTGGCGTCTCAGAACTCATCCTCGTTGGCCGTAGAGATTTCGACTGTTTCGGCAGCCATGGCTCCTCCTCCCACCTTCGATTTCGACACTTCCACTTCCTCCACGACGCTCGCAACTTCTTCAAGGACAAAGACTGCGATATTTGCGGTGTTGAGATCTCAAACGACGCTCTCCCTGTCAATCAGCATCCTTTCAAGAAGAGCACCGCATTTCTGTTAGGCAACGAGGTAGCTACCTCTCTTTGTCTTTGGCATTAGGATCAATTTCAATTTTCCCCATTTACTCTTCTACATTGTTGTTTTTAATCTCTCTGCAGGGCACGGGGCTTTCTCCTAATGAAATTGAGATATGCGACTTTTTCGTCTATATTCCTCAATATGGCGGCGGCACTGCTTCCTTGAATGTTACTGTAGCTGCTTCCATTGTACTCCATCATTTCGCAGGTTTGTTTTTTTCCGCAATAGATCAATTACTTTCCCCCTTTTCTTGGCTTATACATCATGTGCTTATGCCAACCCTACTAGTGCGTGTACTATGAAACTGCATTTTGTTACAAATCTAATCTTGCGTTAAAATATAAGTTCCAACTTCCAACTACTTTTGATATATTGTCTGAAACATTTGTTTTCGCCAGACTGGGCAGGTTTTGAAGAGAGAACTCGTGAAGGAAATAAATTTGTTGTTGCTGAAAGACCGGTAAAACAGGGTCGACGTAATTACTGCACTGAAACAGAAGATTCCATTATTGAAGAGCGTAAAGCTAAAAGAGAAAATGCTGCCAATGGTTTCTTTGATGAGGCTGAGAGTGGCAATTCATCTTCAAACTTCCTTGATGCATTATTTGTTGATGGTTAATGGAAAATGTGTGATTACTTGACGGTAATGATTAACTGATCTTTGGGATCGTTGGTTGTGGGCTTAAATGCGTCAGTTGCAACAGAGGAGAACCAACATCTTGTCTATTTAATGGGGATTGGAGATAACTGACTATTACATTGCAGGCGCTATATATGTAACATTTCGAAAGGATTCATTATTGGGGGAAGGCAGCTGCTGAGATTAAGGTGTGTATATTGTAATTTATGGTGTAAGTTTGCTGCAACTACCGCCAGTTACTGCACATGAAGTTGAAGCCAATATTGTTGTTTTGTAACCTGATACTCCCATTTACTTTCCTGATGATTATTAAAGCCTCTTAAATGAGGACAAAGTTGCATATTTCAGTTCAGTGGTTCTTTTTCTTTGTTTTAATTATGTTGTGATTTTGTTGGTTTCAAGATGAGACACATCGTTGCCCCCTTGTACCTTTTTTGGCTTCTCCTTTTTTTAACTGTTACTTCTTATATTTGAGGTAGTACAAGAGACCATCTGCTTCTAATTTCTTTGATGAGTGCAAAATTCAAGGTTCAATTGGATTCAATGGAGGTCGTGGGTGACTCTGTAGTGGAGTCCAATTTTGGACGTATTTCTTTCATTTAGACCTTAATGGGTCACCCGAGTGAGCATTGTAGGTTTCCTCAATACTGTGGTAATTTTGGTTTAAAAATCTAGCAATGTAGCAACAATACACGTGACATTTTCGTTCGTGTCCACATGACGGGAAACCAAAACCCCTTTATATACAAGGGACAGACAAAAGGCAGAGAAACAATCACCTTGATTATTAAGTAAAAGATTTCATTAAGATTTCTATCAATAAACAGAAGTGCTGAAAGCCGAATGTCCCACGCAGAAAAGCAAAAAGAGAATTGTTCAGTCTCTGCAGATAATGGAAAAGCCTAGGACATAACATTTCATTCTAGCAGCATGCCCAATTTGTTATAGCAACATGACAAAAAGTAAAATGAAAAACAAACTATTAATATTAATTAGGGTATCCAATTCCATGGCGATTATCGGGGAAAATCATGAACAACCCACCCGCTATAATCCCAATAACTGTGGGCAGTACCTGAAGGAGACTCTTCTGAGTTGACTCAAAGCCAGGATAGAAGCAGTGCACAGTGTTGGTGTCCAATAGCCCCAACACCACAAACACTAACAACGACAACGCAGCATGCACGAAATCTCCAACCCAGAGTCTGTAGAGTGACAAGTCAACGGAGTTGGAAGCTGGGGAAGGCCAAAGTCCCCTGGGGGTTACGATGGCATAGTGCCTCTGGTTGTCACTGCCTGTGTAGCTATCAGTGAAGGAGGAAAAGGTGCAACACAAGCTACAAATCACAAGGAGAACGGCACTGAGCCACCTGCGGCTTTCGTTGCATTGACCACTATTGGTCACAACAGGGTTGAGGAACTGGAACACGAAAACTGTGCCTGTAGGAAGCAGCTTTATGAAGCTGCCAACTGCTGCGAATGTCGTGTTTGTCATGCCTGTAGTGTGGTTTCGGGAGGTACTAATTGAAGATGCTCTAAGTAACGGTTGTTGGGTGTTCATAGATAAACTGTTGCCGTTCATTTTTTTGGTTTTCTCGTTTTTCTCTACTTGTAATCTTGATGGTGTTTGCAGTTGCAGATTTTCAGGTGAACACACACGCCGAGTAATGAACTGTTGTGTTTTTTCTCTCTATGCCTCCTGGTGCTTGTGTTGATCATATAGAAGCACCATCAGGGAGGTGGTTGATTCTGAGTAAAATGGCTTCATAGTTTAAAATTATCTGCACGTCTTGAAAGAATTTTTATCATGGAAAATTGCATTATACAATGCCATACACACTCAACCATTCCCAATTTTTCTTTTTTTAAAGTCAGACAGATTAAAACAGCGTACACATAAAAAGTCAAACAAAAAGCTCGCACCAAAAATTTATTTGGCAATGTAGTAAAAGCCATTATAGGTGGTTGAGTTCTCATTAAAAAACAAATACACCTTTCTATTAATTTGAACGATAAAATTATTATTTAATATTTCAGATTCTGTACCAAAAGAAATGTTTTATTTCCGTTTCGCATCAATTTAGTTGACTTTTTTTTTTTATTCTTTAATCCTTTTACATATATATTTTTTAGTAATGATATGTGAACAATCATCTTTTATCAAATATTCATCCAACAATCATTTTTACATTATTATATTATTATTTATTTATCTTATTTTATTTTCTTTCCATCAATAAAAAAATATTATTTTATTGGATGTTTGTGAATTGAAAGTTGTACAAAAATCTTTACTCTATATCTTTTTGCTCTCACCATCACTTTTTAACTTAAATGGAAGTAACCTACAAGATATTTAATTAACATGATTGATTAAATGTCTCTTTAACATTATTGTTCTTTCAACCACTTCCCTTTTCTTTCCAGAATAGGCTATATATGATGGAGTTATGCCAGTTGGTTTTGGGCACAGAGACTTTTAGCTGTCTAGCGTGAAGCTAGCTGTGATTCGACTAAGCTATGGCCATTGATTGGTTCACACAGTTTGGTGAAACCTGAAAAATAAGAGTGTTCAATTCAAACGACAAACTCAATATTAAAAAAAAAGGGAAAGGAGGATTAAGTGTATGAAAGTATAGCTACGACAAAAATGGAACAAAAAGGAAACCTAATCAAAATTATGTTTTTTAAAGGTTCAATTACGGATGCTAATTTGTAAACATTTGTTTTACAACAATTTCATCATAGCTCTTAACTTTGAGAGGAAAATTTAAACTTTATAATAATTATAATGTAAAAATAATAATAAATTATTGATAAAATATTTTATATTATATACGATGATAATTATAAAATAAATTATTATTATATTTAAAATAATAAATTTTAAATGATAATTTTTCATCTATCTATATATTGACATTTAATAATTATTATCAAAAGAAGTATTATTATAGGTTGAATTTTTAGAGGATGATTTTACTTTTTATTGTTAAAATCATCACGCAGGTCTTAGTAATAATTTGTCTATTTTATTTGTTTCACTTTTATGTGTCTACTTTTTTTATTCTCTTCTCTTTTCTTTTCTTTTTCTAATTTTTCATTACAACTTTTTTTCTTTTTTCTCTTTAACTTTCTCTTCTTCCTAAAGAGTTTCTCTATAACAAATATCTCTAACATCGTACTATAAAAAAAAACAATTAAAAAAATTAATATTTAAAGTTTTTAGGTTTATTGTAATACAACACCCGATTGTATTCGCAACTTTAATTTTTTAACTTTTAACAGACGATTTTAGAACTAGTTATATTTTTTAACCATATTAAAATAGTTTATATTTATTGTTTATATAAAAAATCGAAACAAAAGAATGTTAAGAGAAGTTACTACCAGGAGAATACTTTTAAATATGTTTTTATTTTTTTAACTGTTCTATAATTATTTATATTAGTTTAACGTTTAGAAATTAAGAAAATATTAGTTATCATAACAAAAAGTTATTTTTATTTTTACTTTTCATTAAATGAAAGAGGAAGAAAAGAAGCAATAGAACTACATTATCCTAATCCTCTGTTACAAAATAATATAATAATAACAAAAAAATGTTAAAGTTTTATTATTGTTATTATTACTGTAATATTAAAATAAGTTTTTTAATTAATGTTTGATTAAGAAAATTTGTGGAAGATAAAATTATCTATTTTAGAGTTTACCATCAACTTTAAAAAGGAGGAAAGAAGAAAGTTTGGGCAAACGAATTATCCGATACATGCAATAATGTTTCATACCATGCAAGTACATGCACACTTAGCACCATGCGCCAAGTTTCCATAGCCACTATGCTTTGTCATTAGCATTCTGTGGAGATGTTGTATCATTGGGTTTTGAGGCAGTGTCCTTGGAATAAGAAGTTAAAGGGTATCCAATTCCATGGCGATCATTGGGAAAATCATGAACATCCCACCGGCTACTACCCCAATAGCTGAGGGAAGCACTTGAAGAAGATGCTTCTTGTTAGATAACAGACTACTTGCACAAGAACTCAACTAAAATAGAGAAGAGAAAAATTGAATAGCAATAATAGACAAAAGTAGAAATTTTATAATAAGAAGAAAAATTACATACCCTTTCTCTAGTCCTAAGAATGACAATCATTTTTAATACTAGAGAAAGAAAGAAATTTTGGGATGTTTTGAATGAGGGTATGTGGTTTCTTATATAACCACTCACTCATGCCCCCTTTGAAGTACTTACCGATGTGGGACTTTGTTCTCACAATCTCTCACTTAAAGATTTTGATGAAATTAATCAAATATTCACATTATGATTATATTTTCTATGTTGCTTATACTTTCAATAGGCTATAACAGGATCGACTTTGTATAAACTTGTCAGCATTTACTGGTTTTGTCATAGCATCTGCTAGGTTATCTTTGGTATGAATCTTTTGCATATCCACACTCCCTTCCTCTACTACTTCTCTGACAAAATGATATTGTACTCCTATGTGTTTTGTTCTTGAATGAAAAGTTGGATTCCTTGCAATGTGCAAGGCACTCTGACTGTCACAATACACATTGATCTTTTGTTGCTTGTGTCCGAGTTCTCCCAATAACCTTTGAATCCAAATTGCTTCCTTGCATGTCTGGGTAGCTGTCATGTACTTCGCCTCTGTAGTAGATAAGGCTACAACAGTCTGCAAGTTAGATAGCCAACTTACCGCTCTGCTTGCAAGTGTAAACACATATCCCGTAGTAGATTTTCTTTTATCAAGATCACCTGCAAAATCTGAATCAACATATCCTCTGACAATAAACTCTGATCCTTCAAAACATCATGCAGCATCTTGTTGACAATTCAAGGACTTGATGTTGCACTTGATGAATATGAAGAATGGATTTTGATGATGATCCAAGAACTAAAGACTTAGAATATTGAAGATTGAAGATTGGTGATAATTGTATTGTAATAACTCTGTTTTATTTAAGATTGAGTCTGTATTTTTAGAGTCTAAGATAGCCGGTACATAGTCTGTAACTTAGAAGCTTCAAAAAGCTTAAATTTATCATTTAGGCTCGGCTTTAATCGATTATATAGGTAAATAATCGATTAAAACAGTGAGAAAACACTTTCTATACAAACTCACTGTTTTAATCGATTAAAATAGCAAAATAATCGATTGTTTTGTACTTGTTCCGTACTGGATAATCGATTATTTCACCAAATAATCGATTATTCCGAGAGGTTTGGGTTCGACGTATTTGGCTTCGTTTTAATCGATTATCACTCCAAATAATCGATTATTTCGATCTGTTTTTCATTTTAAATTTCAAATTAACCCTATTTTCGAAAACCCAATTACCAAGAACCCTAGTTTCGAAATCCCCAATTCCTAAACCCTAATTTCCCTACTTAAACTCTGCTTTGGCACTCGAAAAGAAAGAACAACTCTTTCCATACAAAAGTTAAGTGTTGTGAGTGCCGGAGAACTGTTTGTTGCAAGGAAAGGGGGCTTTTGGAACTCGGTGTGAGGCTAGAAGCGATAAGAATCACTAAGTGGAGTTCTTAGTGGATTGTGTGTTGTGCCGTCTCTAGGGAAAGTTGTTCTTCATCTCTTGTGGATTTCAAGAGAGGTGTTTTCTCGATCTTTATCTCTGTTCATTTGTAATCTGTTTGTAACAATTTGTTCTTAGTGACGGCGTTAATCCTCTTTTGAGTGATTAGCAACTCGGACGTAGGGTCTTTTGATCCGAACCAGTATAAACCTACTGTGTAATCTTCTCTACTCTTCTCTATTTACATTTACGCAGTTTTTAATCGGTAAAATTTGGGGAAAATTTTGAAAACCTAATTTTTATTAAGAAACCAATTCACCCCCCTCTTGGTTTTTGTCCGACCACGCGAACATTCTCGCTGCGCGATTCTAACAAGTGGTATCGAGCTTGCTTTGATAGTCATTCAAATATTTTCGAAAATGGCCGGACAAAATCAAACTTTTGCCGAAGGTGCATCTATCAACAGACCCCCACTTTTGCGGGTCAAAATTATCCTTTTTGGAAAGTACGTATGCAAATATTTTTAGAGTCTCGTTGATAGAGGCGTTTGGGACGCAATTTTAAACAGTCCATTTGTTCCTAAAATTACAGAGAACGGTGTTGACATTCTTAAACCTATTTCTAGATGGACTGCAGAAGAAAGTCGAAAAGCACAATTTGATGTTAGGGCTAGAAACATTATTTCATCTGCTCTAACCCTTGATGAGTTTTATAGAATTTCAGTTTGTAAAAGTGCACAGGAAATGTGGGAAATGCTTAGGGTGACCCACGAAGGAACTGACGACGTCAAAAGAGCACGTAAAAATTCTTTAATCCAAGAATACGAGATGTTCCGGATGCAACCAGGCGAAACGATATTTGACGTACAGAAACGTTTCATTCATATCGTGAACCATCTCACCGGACTAGGTAAAATTTTTGACATTGATGAATTAAATGTTAAAATTTTGAAATCTCTGGATAGGAAATGGCAACCAAAGGTGACGGCCATCTCGGAGTCACAAAATCTTGTCACTATGTCTATGGC